CCCGATCATGCTGATTTTCGAACTTGACCTGCGTATTATGAATATTCATCAGTTCTGTAAGTTTCAAGTCAAAAGGTAAAATGGTTTTCCACTTATCGTGTTATCGGTGCTGCATATATGCTGAAAAAAGTGAAAAAACTGCATAAATTCCCTAAAAGTGACCCGATCATGCTGATTTTCGAACTTGACCTGCGTATTATGAATATTCATCAGTTCTGCAAGTTTCAAGTCAAAAGGTAAAATGGTTTTCCACTTATCGTGTTATCGGTAAAAGTGCATGGCGACGGCGACTACGGCGACGACGACAGACGCAGATGATGGCTATATGTACAGACACATCTGTGTCTGTACATAAAAAATGATGCAAAATGAAATTTTAACAAAATTAAATCCTTCAATACATTGTATGACATAATTTGTATAAATGATGCACTGGGAAGACTGATTTAAACTTAATATAAAAAAAACACCTACCCTTTCATCAATACATGACAAGACAATTGGGACATACAAAAAGCACAGCAATCGCAACAAATTCTAGATATTATTTATCACTAGAAAAACTAACACAAGATGCACTAGATTAATTGTTTTTTAATGGAAATTGATCAGCTTGTTTTGCCCTTCAATAATGCAAAGCAGGTTTTGCATGTACAGTTCAAATTGAATCAACTGGTGGTGAGCTTAATCATGAACATGTTAATACTTCTGTTCCCGTTTCATGGCAACATGCACATTCCCCACATTGCAACACTGACATGTTAACCCTTTAAATTGTTTAAAAACCACAACTTCTCTTCAAATAATCATTTCAAAATATTCCTCTTACCAGGTTTTTCTCCCTGCTTTTTGCCCTCATCTGTTTCTGCTTTCTTTTCTTCCCTTTTCTTAGCAACAAGTTGCAGAATTTTATCTTGCCATGAAGAAGCAGGTGGGGGCTCCACAGCCTGAACCTCAGTCTCTATTGAATGAGTATTTCAAAGTTAATAAGTTAATCATAGTAAATCAGCTTTCTCAAGTTGTGAAACATAAGTTCACTGAGCATTTTAATGGATTTAAGACATTAAGCAAATTATTATTATTATTATTTTTATTGTCGTAATCATTTTTATCACTGTTGTTGCTGTTCTTGTTATCACAATCATTTTTATAAACATTATCATACTCATCACAATCATTATCACAATCATTATCATTCTTATCAAAATAGGCCAACCCAACCTTTCTCCTCCTTGCTGGAGGGGACAGCACAGTGCTCCAGGAGTTCATTATGAAAGTTCTTCAAGATCTCCTTCAGGTCATCACTGCAGGGACACACCATGCCTCCATCTTCATCTTCCTCACTTTTAAAGTTCAGCAAGGACCTCATCTGAATAAATAAATTTGGGAAAGAATGTCAGAGTTGCTCACATTTCAGTTCTCAAAATGTGAAGTTCTCTGGTTGAACAATGTTCATAACTACAGAACAGCACCTAAACAATAAGAATAAACACTGAAAAAATATGTGGCATGCTGGTCACAGGGTTAAAATTCCCTTCAACACAATCCATGTCCTCCTAGTCTTCACTTTACCTGCTCTTGAGGGGTACAGCGGAACTCTCGAGTTTTCTTGGCAGCAATGGCTGGTGGAAGATCTGACTGCTTGATATAGTTGTATCTAACTCTCTGGTCCTAAAACAGTAATAAGTTTATGAAGATTACAAGAAAACCAGTTGATAAATCTAGTTTTAGATTGACAATGTATGTTAACAGACGATAACTTTGAATATATAAATTATAATGAATCTTCCTCATGAGCTGCAACCATACAATACCCTTATGTTTCCATCTGTTCTACTGAATTGTACCGTAGGTAAAAAAATGTTGACTGTACACAAAAGAGAACATTTGTCTCAGCAAAATATATAAATAAATAAAGTGTCAGATTCAGCTTTATTTTATGTGATTAAATCGATCGCAAATAAGTTAAGATTGGTCTTACATTTTGAACAGCTGCACAGAAGTCTGTTGCAAAAGACATAATGGATTCCATTCTTTTACGAAGCTGGCAGTCACACAGGTGTTTCAGCAGGTGACACATCTGCAAAGTATGCAAGAGTTTTATATATAAAATGTGTATTCAACAACTGGAGTTTCAGATACAATGTGGGCCAGTTTCCTAATATTTGAATATTTGAAATAATGGCATCATATCTAAAGCCCAAGATAGTATATCCAAACATAAAGTTCCTTTCACATGATACCAATGAGACTTGGTCATCCTACTGGTACAGAATGTCTATCAAAGCACATTTATAAGTACTGTGACATGTCAGATACTTTAATCTCCCGTCTTCATTGTCTCAGTAAACAGGTAGACCTGTGTGTGTCACAATTATTGAAATTTATCAAACGCTGTGACCCACCTCCAATTTGACAGGCTCTGCTAATTTCATCTGCAACAGTCCCTCTGCACAGAAACCTACAGAGAAAATATCATGATGAAAAAATATATACTCAATATACTTGGGATATAAGGTTGAATTTTAAGATTATACTAATATACAAATGATTTGTCTAATTTGAATACAGTACTATAATTTCATTCCAAATAAAAGTAATATGACAATCTCTAAGGAGAAAATTAGTGTTTAACACCTAACACACATAAAAATCAAAATATCACATTGTCCACTATGAATTTACATGCAGGTCAAATCAGTGACATACCTTGCAAACCAAGACCCCACCTTCTTGTGTAAACTGGAACCAAATTGAAAAACAAAACACTCAATATTTCAAAGCAAATTCACCTCTAAAAATACACAGCCAGCATACTTACTTACCTCATAGTGCCGAATTTTTAAAAATGTTTTTTCTTCTTTTTCTTCTCATCAATCATTTTATACCTCATTCAGATGCTACAAATATCTTATTAGCCAACATTAGCAGATGGCAGCCAACAGAATATTTTTTAACATCTGGCCATGACACCAACTGATTGGCATGAAGAAGGTGGTGACCAATAAGATATTTCGTAACATCTGGATATGATCAACTTATTAGACGCTTATTAGACATATCTCACAATCTGATTGGTTCATCAGTAATGGTTGAGATGGCACAGTTTGTGTGGGTGAGTACTATAAGGCAGTGGATACGCTGGATGGGAACAAAATTGCACACTGCATTAACTTAATTTACAATCTCATGCAACACAAAATGTGCTTTGGCTTTAAAACCAAAGAAGCCATTATTTAAAATGAATATGTTAGTATTGTCACTCCAATCTTCATAACAATGAACACAAAATTGCAAATGGTTAAAATGGTTTTTAAAAAACTGTAAGAATTTACATTAGAATAGTTTGGAAGCCTCTCAGATATTTTCAGCTTTTTTACATATTAACTGATTAAAGCAAAACATTATTCCAAATGGTTTGCTCTAATCAAGTAATTGCTATTTTTCCAATTCTCGGAGATTAAGCTTTTTAAATGAAATTTGCCATAACATAGCAGTTATGTTAAATCTCAGTAAAACCATGCATTTCCTAACACATCCATAATTGCACAATGAAACACTAGTTTTATAAGAAATTTTAAGGCCTAGCTTACTTCTTTCCTTGTCAAATGTATGTGGATCTATGAGCACAAACAACTGATGGAGGTCCTCCTCTGTGCACATTCCCATCACCAGCAGACGATCTATTAGACGCAAGAGAGGCCTAAAAGAAACAATTATGTAATTTTTATTTTTCATAATCATTATTTCCATTAGACACATATTTTATGCATTATCTTAAATATCATCATTTTGCAATCAAAGTAGCCCAATCCACTTGCTAAATAAAGTACAACAATCTTATGCAAAAATTGTGATCATCAAAAGAAAAAAATCAATCATCTTCCATCACTGCCAGTAGTAAGTGTGTTCTATAAATATATTAAAATATGACATGGTGAAAAATATATTCCACAAAGTTAAAAAGCTTTGTATCTTCTACTAGAATCCGTAAATCAATTTACATAGAAAAAGGAGAAATAAGCCTCTTACACAAACAAGTTTTCCTGCGAGCCTCCAATGGGATCCCTGATATGGGGTCCTCCTGTCTTGACAGCCATCACCAGGGAGTGCATGGTGTGCTCCTTCAGTGCTCCCAGGTAGAAGGGGGGTGCAGCCATGGGGGCAGGGGGCGTGACGCCTTCTGTGACACCAAGATTCATGGAGCCCACATTGCTAGAAACAAAATCATTGGTACCTTTTTTTTAGAAAAATTGCAGTGATAACATTTTTTTAAATTCTAAATAATGGGAAAAAAAAAGAGGAATATTATTATCAACTGGGAATTGACACACAGTAAATGATGCATTTAACATAATCTAATTTAGTATAATATAGCATAAAAAAATAATAAATATTACTGTCGTCATTACATTCTTATCATCAAAAACAATAATAAAAATACAATAATAAGTTATAAAGGAATATGTATTGGGTGTTTTCTTATTTATTATTACAGTAAATGCTAACACACCTCTCTCCTTCCAACTGTAAATGAGGCCGAATAGAGACACTGCGCTCCAGTTTGGGAATAGACTGTCGCTCTTTTTCCTTGTCCTTGTCAACAAATTGATCCAATGGTTTGGGATCTGCCACCAGAGGGATGATAAACTCGTTTTGGGTCATCAACCTGAAATATGAATTACGCAACTGCCAATGAACTCTTTGAAGCATATAAGTGCAAGAAGTGAAAATAGCTTGATATCAGTGTTCACTTTTCTGCATCCTCATATATGTTCACTACAAATGATTATATTTTATAAGCCACTGACAGACGATATGCAAAAATAAATGTAAAAAGAAGTGGGTTAATGAAATAACAATTTTTATTCAGAAACTTATAAAAAGGGTTCTGGAGAACCTGGGCATTGATCCCAGTACCTCTCACATGCTAAGCGAGCGCTCTACCATTTGAGCTAGATCCCCATCTGAAATGCTTCCTCTAATACAAAGGAATTGTTCTCAACATTTGCCTGCCTAACTTCAATTATTCTAAAATTACCTTTGTTCAGAGGTATTGCTCTACTGGCTTGTTTGCCACACTAAATTCAGTAATGATCAATTTACCTGGTTGAAGGCAATTCTTTAAATTGTTAGCATGCCCAATAACGATCAATCTAAGTTTAATTTGCTTGCATTCTTTTTTTTTCACTCCGTACTAAAAATACATAATTCTGTGATCTGATTTCATTCTCTTTGGTCATGGCAGTTAACAACAACGAAAAAATATAAATATATAAACAGGCAAACAGCACTTTGGTTTTTATATAGTAAATGTACAAATAAGTTAAGTTACATAATGAATAATGTGTAGGTGAATTTTTCTAAAAAAAATTATTTTGTAATATCATGCAAGGGCATCTTTGGTCAAATCCTTTTATACATAAGGCTTTTTACCTAATACACTTTTATGCAATTAAATGAAAGTTGCTGTCTTCAATTATCTTTAATTGTGACTTTGCATGACTATTTGTCTATTGTTGGTGATCTGATAGCTATAAACAGACAGGCACTCACTATTGTGTGACAGGTAAGAATTATTTCACAACTCAGGCAACACAGCAAAATAATTACATTTATGTCTATTAAGTTTCCCAGATGGGGATCTAGCTCAAATGGTAGAGCGCTCGCTTAGCATGTGAGAGGTACTGGGATCAATGCCCAGGTTCTCCAAAATGTTTTGAAAGTTTCAAAAATTTCAGTTGCTTAAACTGTAATTCATCCATAATTCTACAATGTCCTCTTTCTCCACAAAATTTCATGGAATCGTTCAACCTTTGGGCAACAACATCAATTTTTCAGGGGACTTAACATTCATTGTATTAATAAGCATTTTTTTTATTTTAGCTCACTAAACTTTCAATAAAATATTCTAAATATCAATAAATGTAATAATTAAGGAATATTTGCTACACCTCCACATCTAGTATTTAACATAACACCAAAATCAAGGCATAAAGATCAACAAGTAAAACATCAATCATCAACACAACAAATGTGTGACCAACTTCACATTTATGGATTTCATTAATAATTTCTTTATCTTTAATCAAATCATTTCAATATATCATGGCAGGTTTACCTTGTGACAGCATGAGATTCTAGATGCATAGATATCAGCAGATCATGGAAACCCATCCTCAGGGCCCCTGACAGGTCTGAAATAACAGGTCAAATAGGCTTTTTAATTATTATAAATCAATAATCATTATAAAAATACATATTTTTGCAAATCAAATCATTCTATTTGCTGAGCATAAAGGAGTACTTCCTCATGTCGTAATGAGAGTTGTTGATTTAGAGCGCATTCTCAACGAATTAAGCCAGGCTTTACAAAGCCGGTGACCTAAAAATGGCGGACGTACATGAAAGAAAAACCGCCTAATCTTTTAATAGTCTCTCCGCCTCCCCACACGTCGTCCCTGCGGGGTACAGTAATTAAATCTCGGCTCCGTTCGCCATGCGGAAGCTACCTGAGAAATATTAAGTGCGCATGCTCATCAGTTAAACTCGTGGTGAAGAAAGCATGGCGGCTGAAGGTGATCGAAGGAAAAAAGCTCTTCTGTTCTATTATCTTTGAAAACAGAGACGAAAAAGGAATAATTTGGCCCGTAGAGCAGCAATGAATCGACTATCTACGGAGATAATATCACCAGAGATATTCACGGAAATATTAATGTTCGGAGCCGAGATTTAATTACTGTACCCCGCAGGGACGACATGTGGGGAGGCGTGTGAGAGGCGGAGAGACTATTAAAAGATTAGGCGGTTTTTCTTTCATGTACGTCTGCCATTTTCAGGTCACCGGCTTTGTAAAGCCTGGATTAATTCATTGAGAATGCGCTCTTACACAACTATAACAAGAAGTTGGGTGATGGACATAAAGCATGGTGTGACAAAGGGAAATAAAGTACACAACAATAGGCCTTGTGTTGTAAAAACCAAGCCCACTATTTATATCACCCTATGTAGAAGGGGATCTAGCTCAAATGGTAGAGCACTCGCTTAGCATGTGAGAGGTACTGGGATCAATGCCCAGGTTCTCCAAAATTATTTTTTTTCTCAATATCCTCTTCTATGCTGTCAAGATAATTTTGATTGAAAGTAGCTAGCTCTTTAAGTACAAATCTCTATGTGTATGCTTCTTCAACTCTCACATTCAGTGTCATTTTGATTATCGTTTATTACAAATATATAAAGACGCCATCAACTACATTAAACACTTTTGTTGAATAACCAAGGCAGGAGTAGGTATAAACATACAACAAACTTACATTCACTTTGTATGCAGTACATCAACTGGCGTTCATCAACGTGTTTGGTTAGTTCATATGCTGCTCTATGGTTGCCATGGGAACATATAGCTCTGTACAGTTCTAATGTATGCACGTGGAACCTAAAATTAACAGTTACACAAATTTAACTTGATAATTTTTGAGATTTGATCCAATCCAACAACTAAAACTATTAATTGTTAGAAGTAATATCCTGCTCTTATTTTTTACCTTTTAAAATTAAAATAATTATTATAAAATTATATTTGAGGTCTGTAAAAAATCATTGTATGTATTTAAGACAGTAAAAAATCACACTAATCATTATAACTATCAATCATACAAAAACTATGGACAGTAAATGAGGGAATAAGGAGGTGATTTACTATTTTCATGTAACAGATCATGTCTATTCTGATGCAGTTGTTCATAAGCTATCTGATGACATACTTAAGAGCCTCTGTATGCTCTATCAGTTCCAAAATGTCCAGACTCCTGTCTTCTTCTGGTATATGAAGACCAAGCATGGCAACTGAAAAAAATAAACAAAAATCAGAGTTATCAACTGTATGCATTTTTGCAGACCCCTTACATTTTTTTACCATCTTTTTTGCCTAATTATTTTTACCAGTGAAGCAAATGAGATATTAATTCTCTTACATTTTTACCATTTTTTGCTTTAAATGTTTTACAAGTGAAGCAAACGCAATATTAATTAATTTTTTTAAAAAGATGCAGTGCAATCAAGACAAATCATAATTTTTTTACCTGGGCTCTCACAAAGCATGCTCCAGCCTCTAATCTCAGACAGTTTGAGCGTGTTGACCTTGAGTGACTTATTGGGAACACTTGACCAGCGGTGTGGCACCAGCAGCTGGACGTCCAGACGTGATGGACACTGAGGTACAAGGTCTTTGGCACCACGGAATAGAGCAGCAGACAATGGGAGGGTTGTCTGGTAAAAACCATTAGGAATTTATATTACATACAAAAAATATGTATCAGTAATTTTTTCAAAATTTTCTTACTCATCTTCATTTAGTTACTATCAGGAACTTGGATATCACAGGTATTCCATTAACGTTAATCTTAAGAACATTATTACAATTATACTAAAAATGAATTAATATGACTGATGAAATTCTTTGATGAATAGCTTTAACTCAGATTTGTCAAACTTTTAATTACTAATAAAAAGCCATTAAAAAAAACTGCACTATATGGCTTTCCTCCATACCTTTGTTCTCCCCAGTTCAAACTGGAACATTTCATTGTTGGTTGGTTCACAAAAGACAGCTGGATACAACTTCGTCCCAGGTTCAACCTGTTCAAAAAGATAGCTCTTTAAAAATGCTCAATACATGTATGATGTAGAACATTATACATCATACATGTATAATGTTCTACATCATACATGTATGATGTAGAACATTATGATGTGTTCTAAATTTTATTTGCATGGTCAAATGTAATTCCAACTCTACAATGTTTGGTCAAAGAAGAAATCTATTATGTGACATCTCTTTTGAGCCCCATGCCATAACTCGTAATCATATGATTATGGATATTACCTTCAAAACATATCAGATGGATAAAAAACACCAAACATTAAATTTTGATGGTTCAAAAACCATCCACTATAACTGAACCAAGTGATGTCAAAATGCTTATTCTGGCACTGTATGGCACAAATGACTTTCTCAGAAATGTCTTAGAAGCTAACTGACAAAAACTTCAGCATCACAGGGGTATATTTTAACATTAATCCCATATATCTATATATCACATACCTGGAATTTGTTTGCCACTTCCTTGCCATTCACAGTAAAGCTGAGCAGTCCAGTTGAAGCGTCAATAAATGAACCAATGAGAAGTCCTGGAGACACTCTCCTCGAGCCTGCTGTCTGTTCCTGCTGGCCATATCTCTGCTGTAAGTCGCCAGCAGACACCATGTAACAATTCTTGCGGCTTACACTGGGAAGCAAAAATAGCAAAAATTTAAGCAAGAAATGTCTAGATGACACTCCAATTGTATATCAAACAAAATGATGAAAATATATAGGGTCCTTCAAAAACAATTGTATTTGTATCAAAATGAACTAATATGGTTTGTGTTTTTCAATTAAAAATTATTTGATTCATGACAGTAATATAAACTTTTTAATTTACCTATGATGTCAAAAATACTTAATATTAGTTCTATTCATTAGATGGCATTCCTACCTGGTTTTTAAATGATAATCAGCATCCAGAGTGCATACAACAACATTTCTCACTTTCTTCATTTGAAATTCCTTCTGATGGAAGTGATACCCTGAAGTGACCCAGCCAACCCAAACATGGGATGGGTCTTGTCCTGGGAAAATACGCACTCCATAGTAGTAGTCAAAGACTTCTGACACATTGATGTCAGGGTCCATCACTTCTGATTGTGAATCTGCATCTGAGCCATAACTGACTTCACTGAAAGATTTCTGAAGTGAAAGTCCAGGATAGCCTGCGTCATCCCTGTGTTCCTGGATATTGATTGAGGGGGTCACAAGACTGTCATCCATGGAGTCCCCTCTGCCAACTTTTGAAGGAAGAGTTCTGGATTTCTTGTCTTTCTTCTTGTCTCCTCGTTCACTGGGACTGGGGTCCCTCGACCGAGATTTCTTGAATAAACTGAATGGAGACTTTGACCTCTTGGTTGGTTTTTCCAATGAACTAATTTGACGCGAGGCATCCTGGAAGTTTTCTAAAAGTGAAAATTTAGATGAGCTTTTTTCTTTGCTTGTGGGCACTGTGAGCATGCTGTCTTCTAGCTCCATATCACTAACAGGGGACCCAAGAGAACTATCCAAGGAGTGAGGTTTGCCTCCCCTCGACCCACCAAATACCTTTCTCCTTTCTCCAGCGTCTATGCTATAATCCTCTGTGTAGCCACGCTGTAATTCTGAAAAGCAAAAGGTTGCTTAATTTAGCACTCATGCAGAAGCAGATGCAGAGCATTTTAACATATCAGCCATAAATAATGCACCATTTTCTATTCTAGAGCCATGCCTTTTTGATAATATGTTATGGGATCCTAATGCTTACAAACTATGTATATATATTTCAGTTAATAATATTTTGTACTGCTGCAAGGGTATATTCTACATTTCTCTTCTTTTTTTTAATTGTTAGAATTTTCAATTTATGTTAGCATGTTATTCATCTAACATTTCCATGCTAAACAATCCTAATTATGTAGCCTTTATGTCTTTATGTGAACTTTTTAAACTAATAAATAGTCATGGCTGTAAGGATATAAAATATACCAGGATAATTCATAATTAATATTGACTGCCAAAACCTGGAGTTGGTCAAAACATTCCATCAATAAAAAATATATTTACATTAAACAGTGGTGCTATTACCTGGTCATCATATATACATGATAAAACTTGTCAAATGTTAGTCTCAGAAAGTTAGTCACAGGTGGTTTGGACATATCCTTTCAATTCATATTCAAGAGAAGCTTTCAGCACAGTTTAAAGTTATAGGCAATAAGAAGGAATTATCTAATAGGGCAAATTTCAATGCACACAGCTTATACAGCTTCTTATCCACTATCCACTGGTTTCTTTTCCAAATAAAAACACCAGAAAAGAAAGTCACTGTGATAGATTTTAAAAGAATGGGGATGGCAGTCAAATAGATATTTTAGATAAATGTGAAGAAACAGAAAGATAAGCACTGCAACACAAGTTTCTGTAGGTTTTAAGAAGCATCAAATAATAAACTCCTTGTAATTTCAAATATTTAAAACTGAGAGCGAGAGTGAGAAACTTCCTGTGGGTGTTATGGACCTATTCAAAAACTCCAAAAGGGCAACTATGGGTTGCACATAATTATTTAAAAGTTGAGGTTAATAAAATGTCTGTTTACCAGTGTGAAAAGAAGAAACAGATATTTACAGATAAACTGTAGGAATCTTTGGACAGCAATGGATAAGGCCCACATATGGTCATATCTCAATTACAAACTCATTGCTAAGTCATGATTTTTGTTTCTACATGGCATGTTGGTGGGTTGCTATATCACAAGCATTTTGTGTACTTTGGAACTGATTATTCTGGGAAGAAGGAAGGGAAGGAAAAGCATGCATACCAGTACCGGAGCTTGCAGACTCACTCATTTTTGACTGCCGTCTGTCATCACTTTCACTGGAATCTATATTGGGCAAATGAAGATAAAATGCAAATCAATCCATGCAAATAAACCACACATGATATATAATATAACCCTTTATAGCATGCAATGTTAATACTTGGTTAGCGACATATTTAACTACGTTGATGTATCAAAATTTTGTCTTTATTATTTCAAATTTGCATGAGAAATATAGTTAATAAATTAAAATACCCAAAAAATTTTGTTATTCTCAGCACAAAAAATAGTCAATAAACAAACATTAAGAGATTTTATCTCTAAAACACTTTTTACTAAATTTCTAGATAACTCAACTAGCATATTCTAAGCATGAGAAGCAGTGCCAAGCAAAATACTGTATATGTATATATTATACTATGAGGAAAAATTAAGCTATAAAGTGTACAATTCTGTAGCATTCATACTTTGATCCTGAAACCGAAATAAAGCACATTAGTACAACAAATAAATCTTGCAAAGATTTCACAACGTTTTATCAAGTCAGTAATAAGCAATTCACATTGGAAGAGACAAATTATTTCAAAAAAAGTTGGAAATGATCTCCACACCTATAGCACTCATACACAACTACTAGTAACAAGGGCGCATTCACAATAATACTTTTGTACTAGGTAGATTGATCCAGCTCTGCGGGGACCCTCAATGAATGCAATCAGATTAACTGAATGACATTCCTCCTCGAGCACCTAAAGGGTGATTTAAGTCCCTGTGTTGCTTGAGGAAAAGTGTCATTCAGTTAATCTGATTGCATTCAGCGAGTCCCCGCAGAGATGGATCGATCTGCCTAGTATGATAATTTCATTGTGAACGCACCCCAAAAAAAGGTGTCCAATGTGGCCACTTCTTACAAAAGAATGTGCTGGTTGCACCCTGAGATTCAGAAAATTCAGGTAGCCTCCACAGTATTAACTGAAACATTTTACCTCCTAACAGCTTTACTAGGCGTGACAGACATTAAGTTGGTTGAGTTGATATCAATTTATTGAGACTTCCCAGGGAGATAGATCGATCCAAATATCTGTGGGAATGGTCTCTTAAATTATTATGTGAAACTGAACCCAAGTGGTTACTGTACTTGAGAAGAGGTAAGGAGCTCTGAACCTCAGGATGATTGATTCTAAAATGATAAACAGCACTTCTTAATTATATGAATATCCTTTTAATGCAGAGCGTATCTCACAGACATATAAGAAAACTTGTAAGTGAAAACCTGTGAAATCAAATCTTAATATACTAGCGAATGAAAGGTCATATTTGAAATATGGAATGATAAACATTCCACTCAAAAATGTTGACAGAAATATGACCATGAGGTTGACTTATTATTCCCCAATGGCATAAGGTATGATTGCAGCTCAGTTTTCACATCACATATTATAAGATGACATAATATACTTGATTTTACAAAATTAAGTTCACAAAAGCAGGGACTACAAAGCAGAGTGACCAATATATCAAACCTTAACAAAACACTGCCAATTTTTTTACAGAAAGTCATGAAACAATATTATATGCTAATCACAGTACACAAACAAAAAACAGTCACAATACTGAGGCAAGGCTACAGCACATTTGTTGAGAAGGATAAAATTTAGTTTCCATAAAAAGAAAGAATTAGATAAATATCGTACTAGGCATCACAGAGAAGTTTTAAATTGTGTTTCGGTAGCAAGACTTGTTTCCTTTTCTTTTTCAGAGATTTATTTTATATATGATCCTAAATTATGAATGATCCCCTATGGAGATTATATAATAATCAGCAGGTTTCTGGTCAATTTTTTTAAGTTAAAAGGCATGAAAATGTTCCTTCTTTCTATAATTGGGAAAAAAGATAAGCTTGCTAAAAACACATAGCAGTGGATATTTTCAAACAGACAAATAAGTACACACAAACAAAGTAGCAGTGCCAGGAGTATAGAATAGGCTTAATAAAACTTAAAGAATGCTACACAAACTATAAACTTACAATTTTTTAACCCGTTCCGTTTGTCTAGAGAATTTTCCCGTGAGCTTGAGTAAAGCAGTCTCCGCAATGAATCTTTTGTTAGCATGCATAAAATGAAAGTTAAATATCAAGCATACTGTTCTCACCAGGCAGCATAAAACAGACTCTATGAACAGACCTGGTTAGGATTTTTATTTTCCAACTTTGATGTTCATGTCACAATTTACAAAAATTAAGAAAAAAAACTTTAGATTGATGCATTCTAAAATAATTATTTCAACAGCATTAAGTTGTTAGTTTTGCTTTTAATGTGACAGAAAAAACAATTCTACAGTAACTATAATTTTTTTATTAAATTTCCAATTCAACTACGCAAAATAAATTGCATATTTTTTATTTAATCTCAGTCGTATTGTTACATGAAGTTTCCAGGCCTGTTAAGTCAGAGTCAAACTGCCATTATAACACCAAATAATGATGAATTGATCCATCTCACCAAATACTAGCCTTTTGTTAAATACGTTTACTTTTTCAACTAAGGTTACCCATGCAAACTTTTATTAATCAGAAAAACTGAAAAAATATTAAACATGCTATTGTAATCTGCTGCACACAAACATAGTGTTAGAATATCTGTTTATTGTCAATACCAACTATATATACAGTAAAGGACAAAAAGATTTTTAATTGGGGGCCAACTCGAAAGTTCGCGTGTTACAGTATCTGCAAAAAAAGTTCTTTAAAGTAGGAGGCATGAAGAGTTAGGGTGCTTTCCCAGAGATTTAGATTGATCTAAAGATTAAGTTTTAGATCTACCTAACTCCCTGGGGGTTCACGCTAAATTGCAGTCAGCCGAGCGGGCACCATAGTTAATTACCCCCTTACAGCTTTTAGTAGGTGGGACAGACGCTTAAGCTGGCCAAGCTGACAGTAATCTAGTGAGACTCCCCACACGGATAGATCGATCTAAAAATCTATGGAAATGGGGTGTTAGTTTTAGTTTTACTTCTTTGGTTAATTTGCTTTTCAACGAAACTAACCGACAATCTTGACCTTTTACTCGCAAATCAAACTAGGCCTTAGAGCCCCCACTGCCATTTTAAAGAACTTTTTAAGAAATTTGCAGAAACCACAGTTATTTTCGATAAAGCCTCTAAATCACTTTCAGAGTTTGTGAGAGAAATAAATATGTTGAGTCATTAAGTTGTGAGTGTAACTGACACTGGATGATGAGAACAAAGTGGATGCTGAGACCCAAACATAGTATCTCTTGAATCTATGTTTTTATGTGAGACACACCACTTTTGGATCCTCGATCTATTCTCACCATCTGCAGTAGTATTAGGGAATATGTGTGTGGAAAAGGCTGTTCTGACTTGAGATTATAAAGAAAGGTGTTGCAATATGTGCTTAGAGATATGTCTGATTATAAGAATATTTTAAATGGTTTAGGGATACCTACAACTACCTTCAGTTTATGTATGACTTGTTATGGGTTACCTGATACTGCATCAAAACAACAGGTAGAAAATACTTCTTAAGGACAGAGCAAAGTATCAAATGATATCAGATACAGGAAATGGAAAAAGATTAGGATTTTTAGAGAATTAAGTGTACTAACACATAATCCCATCTCTGGGCAATGAGGTCTTTATTTACTGAGACGTTTACATATATATGATAAAAGAAAATTGAATGTGTTATTCAGTTTTAGAATACACATGCAATATGTGTTGAAGAGAAATAAATATATGTGCAACAGTGATATGGTTTTAGTTACAGTGCATGGATTGTTATGTTGATCTGATATGAGAGACATCTAGTGAGTAAGCCTATTGAATGTGAAGGAGGAGGGAGGGGGATTGAATGGCTCACCAAACCTCCTAAACTTATGAAATTTCTTTTCAGGTTTCATAAAAGAACGTCTCAAATCTGGATTGCTGAAGGCGTGACCTGTTGCAACAAATGTCACAGTAAAGGGAACTTTTAATGCACAAATGTTGAATGCAGAACATGCCATAGCAACATGCTTCAACAGAATAAACAACTAGAAAAATATTCACATTAAGTGGTTCTTCACTTAACACTGTATTCTTCCAGTCTTTTCATTATAAATATATATTGTGTAATATTTGTGACATGCAGACTATATGTACCTCACTCAAGCTGACAATCAGGTGGGTTACTAACAACAACCAAAACATTCTATTGTTTGTCAATGATTAAATATAACAAAATACAGTGACTGAAAAATAATAAATATAAATTTAAAACTTTCATATTGCCTTTCAACCAACCCGTCCATTGCCTCTTCTCATGATACATTAATATTATAACTGCAATGAATGTGCAAACACACACATGCTGGGGCACGTACACTATCATACTATATCTCTCTCATTCTCTTACATAAACACTAACACATGCACACAAACTGCACACTGGCGTATCTTTAATTACCTGCGATGACTTTGTGTGCACTTTCACCATCTTTATACCCATTGGTCAGTCCCTGCTCCTCCGAGATGTCCATCTGTCCACGGCGGAGATTCTCAAAGTTCATTTTGGCCTCAATCCTGGATGCATACATATTGTAGGGGTGTTTATCCCTGGTAGCCATTAGATGGAGGGAGAGAGAGAGGAAAGGTAAAACTGGAGGTTAATGGTGATGAAGCAGAAGCGGAAATGTTTTAAGCTTTGTAGATACAACACTGGTCAGCAAGTTGGTTGTGGTATAAAATAGTTTAAAGAATAAATGGATATCATATACATACACCATGTTGACCAGTGTTGTATCTGACTTGGTGGATCATGAGAAAAAAAAGAGGTAGTCATATATGGTGAATCTAACATACATGGCTGGATCTTTATTCTCAATGCCTGCAGTGATATGTGTAACTATTTTACATTCTGCGTTTGCAGGTGGTGGTTGTTACTCATTACAAATCTTGGCATCCCATAATGAAACACATGCATGTTCAAAAATTTCTACTGAAAATGGATTATTAATGTATCCTTTACATAAAACTATGGAATTTTACAATATGGAAACATTCCAATTTCATTTTAAAATAACTATTGAATATCCATGGATTTCAAAATGAATAAACCAAGACAAAAAAGATAGAATAATAATATTATTCATATCTTTTGTAAAAATTGAAATGGCATCACTATAAAAATATTATTTAATTTCATATTCATATTATTTAATTTCAGCTTTCCACACATGGAAGATCTTCTTAAGTTATCCATTTTTGAAAAATAGGTAATATTCTTACTGTTTAGGAGCTGGGTAGAATTAGCCACACTAATTTAAGTTATTAAGATTATGTTAAACGAGGGGCAAATAAATATTATGGGTGCTAAAGAGGTGAGAGAGTTAATCATACAGTTAAAATTTTGTTAACATGATTTGATTAATTTTGTGGTGAAGATTAGAAGAGGAACTGGTTACAAGGGATTTGAAAGGAAGTCAATTTCATAAGTAATTTTTATTGGCTTTCATAATGATAAAGTTTAATGAAAGATGCTTTTTCAGGAAAATAATTACTTCCATACTTATGTAATAGTCTTTACTAATTCAAGCCATCATAAATAGGGATGTTCAAGGTGAAAGACATTAATTTTTATTTCAATTGCTTTTTTATATCATATCACAAACACTTTTCTCAGAAAAAAAATCACCTTGGCCTGAATTCATCATGGCACTTGATGGGAAGATTCAACTTGATAAATTCCAGCTGCACTTTTTCAAGGGTACCATAGTTTTTGGAGACCACTTTCAGGCATGGTGGGGTGTTGGACCTGTGAAGTAAAGAATAAACAGTGTCAATTATGAAAATGATGTAACCAACCAATGGTAATATAACATTTGCATGCAACCTCGTTTTAAAAATACAAAAGCCTTGGGTTTCACCAAAAATAATCACGAGAAAGTAATCAAAAAATAAAATATCATTCATATCACTAGTCTGAAACATTGACAACAGGATCTACATCAAATATCAGTCAAATATTAGCCTGGCAAATTAGGCTTTATGAATTTGCTTATTTATAGTGGTCACTGTTTCTGTCTTTAGCAATGAGATTCTTACTGTACATTTCATCTCTTGGTGGTGTCTTAAATGTTCTTTTTAAAAAAACTTGACAGTATTAAACTGGACATAAAGAATGCAACATACTGATAACATGTTTCAACATAGTGACTTTTAACCAAATGTTACACATATTCTAATTCTGCTATAGAAAATCTCAAATATTTTGTTTTTCTAAAAACTTCTCCATGCTGCCATAATCCAATAGTTGATTTGGCTACAATCATACATATATTTGACTAAGAGCAAGTTTACCCTTTGAGCTCAGGGTTTTCATGACCTTCAATATCAGCCAATCAAATTCTTACCCCCCAGGCATTCTAGAGACACCTATCCTGTGATGATCTTTGGGAACTGGCATGAAGATTGGGTTGTCTTGGCTGTACCATAGTGTCATCTGCTTAGTCATGTTGCTAAAAAATAGTCATAACTGTTTTAAAAAAAGAAATGGAGAAATTTTGCAAAAGTACAGCCACCTTTTTTTTAAAAAAAATCAGCAATAAAAAATACCATACATACAATTTTTCTTCTGTTATACATGTACTTACAGGAAAGGTCTTTTATCTCTATGTATATATACCTAACCGACCTGCACTATTGCCATTATGGACAAATCAAGCAATGAGTACTCGACTTACACACAGAAAGGTTCATAGCCTTCCTGAAGACCACAGCAGGTGAAATATTTCAGTGAGTTCACATCCTGACCAAAATTGAGCTTGGCTTGCTGAGACTGGCCCAGCGTGAAGACAGGAACATAGCCTGATACAAAGAAAAGATTTGAAACCTTTAAAATTTTTGTGGCAGTGCCCTCAGAATATCATTATTATTATTATTATTATTTGCCCATGCTATCAAATCTTACATATGCATCCATTCAAACAGAATTTTGTTTGACTTGAAAACATCAAACATTTTCATATTCTATAACAAAACAAAGAAAAATCCATATTTTCAACATGGTGATCATACTATTAAAACTTACCCTCTGAGACATCAATATCCTTGAATGCAATTTCTTGACCCATTGGATCCATCATGGCTTCCCCATTGAGAGAGAAACCTAGACAAAGTAAAAAAAATATGGTGAAATAACAAAGATAATTTTCACTGGTCTTTGAAGAAAAAAGTATGTGACAGTTAATCTTAAAATAAAGAATGACAACAATAAAGTTAAGCCTTTTTAACTGTTAAAGTAAGTTTGCATTTCATGCTTGTGCTTGCTATCTGTTTGTGATGCAGATGTACATATGTCTACATTCTATCATTTTTATGTATATAGTACAAGACTTTCTCACTGTAACTTCTCTGCTATCTAAATGTTTCTCATTTCTTAATTATGCTCATAAAAAATCAGAAAAGCATTTGGGTTCTGAGAGATTTATCTAAAAATGTGTCATCATACTGATGGTTCTGTCTGGGATGTCCAACATGCAACCAATCACATCTCCTGCCTGCCATGTCTTCCCATAGGCCTCAGAGCCATTGTGCCACTTCCTGGCCTGTATAGTACATAAATTATGTGAACTTTACTTTCACACTTTTTAACTTTCCTTATATATATAT